TGGATGGGGTTTGAATCTCTAATCCACTTAGAGAGGCAGTTCAGCTACATGGCATTCAATCAAATGATCACACCAGCATAAAGCTGCAAGCATAATCTCCAGATGCTGAAGTTTGGGTGAACTTCCCCGGTCACTGTCACTGTTGTGCCACATTGTCACACTAATGCTAAGCATGCGTTAATGCAGGTTGATGCAAGCTTCAGATTTGGAACCCTCCCTCACAATGCCCTGTGTGCTTCTTCCCTTGGTTTATTTTGACCTGTAGTTTTCACTTAATCCAAAACCTTAGACGACTAGCTTTCAGTGAGTTTTGAGTTCTTCTAGTGAATTACTGAGCCCAAAGGTGGTTTTAGGAACCCTCCAAACTTGTAGCTGCCTTCAGAATTGAGGGCAGTCCTGGGCACTGTGTTCATGAGTCTTGTTGCTTCTGTAAACTCTAGGTGTAGTGTGTGTATGGGACTGTTTCCTAGGAAGCAGTATAAGAGTCAAGGGAGATAAAATTCAGGGGAAAAAACCAAACAAACAGGAAGATGAGGCAGAATAAAGGTTTTTGAGATTGTTAGGAAGTTACCTGGTTAGGGACAAACGAAATGAGGTCCCAGAAAGGATGCTATCAGAAACTTTTAAAGTTTGTTTGAGATTAGAGAACTGTTTTGCCCGGAGGAGAATTCAAAATGGATGTTGCACTTTCATTGCTGAGGATCTGGAGGTGCACTGTGTAGATTAGGAGAGTAAACTGAATCAGGCTTTTCTTGTTTGTTTGCTTCTTGCCTATTTTGGACCCTTTCTCCGGCCCTATCGCCTGTTTCTTTTAAGTTCTTATCCTGAGTCTTTAAAAGGGAAGGCTATTTATGTGGAAGGAGCATAGCAGGATGAGGTGGAGAAGGAAGAGAAAGTTGGAGAACAGATAAAAAGCTTCCCCCAAACATTTTTTAAGGGAGGAGACTTACTTCCTCTCTTGTGTTAATAGACCACTTAAATTTATTGCAATACCATCACAGTAGGAACAGTTTTTTCTGATTTGCTTACTGAATTATGAATTAAATGCAGGAAATAAAGTCCTTAAATGTTTGTTATTTTCTAACACCCTCTGCCAGAGAAAGAAGGAAAGTAACGTTGGTGCCTTTGTATGTGTACCAAGTACTTTGTTAAGACTTAGATGTCATCACTTTCAGTGGTTTCGAACTTTTAAACTCTTACATTTTATAGACATGGTTTTGATAAATACTTCCAACAATATGATTTTTTATAATTTTAAGTAAAACTGATAAATTATTCTTTTTTTGTGGACTCTAAATACCATGGTGATTTGATAGCAGTATCCATTTACATAAACACCCAACCTAATTGTTAACATTAAAATTTTTGTATTTCTTTCAGTCTTAAATTTTATTACACTTTCCTATCAGATTTTATGTAGTATTTTTTTTTTTGTACTTGTGATTAAATCCAGAGGTGTTCTACAATTAAGCTACATTGCCAGTCCTTTTTATTTTTTATTTTGAGATAAGGTCTCAGTTACTCAGGCTGGATTTGAACTTGTGATCTTTCTGCCTTGTTCACCTGAGTAGATGAGGATAATGGTGGGTACCACTAAGCTCAGCTATGTGGTGTATTTTTATATATTAAGGTCTTTTATCTTTTCATATGTTGCTGCAATAAAAATTTGTGTAAATTCAGTTTTAAAATACCTTCCAGTCATTATATAGTTAGTACGTAGTAAAGTAACATGAATTGTTGCAATGTTTATTAAATAGAAGAAAAGTAAAATTATTGGAAATGCATTTTTAATGAAGTAGCTGAAGTTATTTTTAAACATTCAGTTAGTTTCATTCTGGTTAAATAGTTGTGGATAAGTAATACTGCAATAAGACAGTATTCAGTGTCATTTTTGTTTCTCTCTCTTTTTTTTTAGAGGTATAAGGTACAAGGTACCTTGAGGCCATAATGTCAAGTGAAATATATTACCACACAAGCTTAAACACCGCATGGTTTCTCCTATATGAGAAACCCAAAGTATAAATTATTTAAAGAGCAAAAGAAAAAATAGACAATAGGAAACAGGCCAGATCTTTTGTAAACAGCAACAGATGTTTTGTAAATGAAAAAAGGGACGTAGAGATGAAGGGAGAGGAGAGACTGGAGAGGAAAAAGAAGGTAAAAAGAATTAAGATGTGTTATGTAAATATACCTACTCTCCACAATGAATATAATCATGTACTACAAGTATGTACTAATTAATAAAAATATTTAAAAAGTTTTCAGCATTCATTCAGTTATCTAAACTCGATGATCTGAAATAAAATTATTATCAGCTAATTATTTGATAAGATTTTTCAGTTTTTTTGGAGACAAAGAATTAGAAACCACCTGGCTTGTTATTAGAGTCGCTAGAGACCTACAATTCTGGGACATGTACCAAAAAGACTTTCATTAAGGCTTCTTAAATAACTATTAAATGTGTCTGTTACTCTTTTTGTTTAGAGGAACATTTCAGAAAGTACTTGTAAGAGTGAAAATTCAAAAGGTTATTTAGATAAATTGTTTTTAATCAAGTTTTTAAACTTTGATTTAGAACTAATCAGTTTAAGACCATTATCTGCCCTATAACCTTTTCGGAAAAACTGTTCTTCGTTGTCAAACCAGTCAGATTTACTTTCATGCTAGAAAAGTCTGACTTCATTTTTGAGTTCAAATAAATGTGTTAATATGTATTTCGGTGACAGCTATCCATGTTTTTGAGTCTCACTGTGTTGTCCAGGCTGGTCTGGATCCTTGGGCTCTAGTGATTCTCCTACGTCAGCCTCTTGAGTAGCCTTTCCTACTGTTGTGCACCTCCATACCTGTTTGTTTTACAGTGCTGGGGATTGAATCCCGGGCCTTGTTCATGCTGGTAATTACCACTGAGCTACACCCTCAGCCCCTTCTTCTGATAGTTAATGTTCAGTAGTTGGAGGGAAAGGCAAGGAGTCCTGTTTTAAATTTATTGCCTAGTTGACACTGTCTTCCTTGTCTTTTATTGGAAACTTTCTTAGCTTCGCTTTACAAGACTCTTCCTGAAAAGTAATACATTTGTTTGATGATGAACATGAAAGAGGAATGCTAAACTTCTTAGATGAAAATTGTAATCAGCTTCTCTCCAACTCTACAAAACATTGGGAAGTAGAACATATTATCACAGTTCCTCATTTCTAATTTCATTCTTTCCAGAAATAGTGTATCAAACAGGGAACTCTAGAATTAGTTTATGGTACCATTAGAGTGTCTTTCAGACTGTGTATGATGGTGTATACCTATGATCCCAGCTCTGGCTAGGCTGAGCAGGAGGATTGAGAATTCATGGCCATCTTGAACTAACATACCTGTCTAAAACAAAACAAACAGAAGAATGCTTTGCAGACAAAATGTGCACCACTCCTTGCTTGGCACTCTAGAAGTTTTTGTACCCCAGCAGTGTGGTAGGAATGGACGAGAGGTATGCCATTCTTTTTTTTTCCCTCCAAAAATACATCCTCTTTAATGTTGAGTGCTACACAACAGAGACGTTAACTAAAGGATACACATTGCTTTGATTTGGGTTTATACATTACATTTTTAATCACTTACTGAGAACATTATTTCAAATAATCTCATCAGAAAAATGAGAAAAAGATTCTGTTACATATTCTGTGATTTTTATGTCACAACCACCACTGTTATCAGGTCCTTTAATACAAAGCAAATTATACTGACTCATCCATTTGCCCAATCATTATAAATACAAATTAAATGTAGTTTAAAAAATATTCTCTAAAAATTTCCGTCAAAATTAACAAGATATACCTTCTACTTCTAAAGCCAACATTGCCATTCTTTATAAAGTAGGTCAACACATTTGTGAAAGGGGAAGCAGGGAAGAAAAACCAACATGACCCTTCTGCTTGGACTCATGATCCGTTGTCTTGAAGATTTGTTTTAAGAAAGGTACACCCGGTACCACCAAAAAAAAAAAAAAAAAAAAAAAAAAAAGGATCCTGAGTTCAATTTCCAGTACCAAAAAGAAAGAGTAAGTCTCTTGGCTGGGGGTTTAGCTCAGTGGTTCTGCTGTATGCCTAGCAAGCACAAGGACTTGAGTTCGATCCCTGGTACTAAAAAAAAAAAAAGGTACAAATGGAAATTGAAGACCTGGGAGTAATGTATTGTTGTTTACTTCTGTGTACCCTTCAGTCTTTTTATACTCAGTAATATGGTACTGTGAAAGAACCCCATCTAATACAACAACCTGTATTTTACAGATAGGGAAACTGAGGCAAGGGGATTAAACACTCGCTTGTGGTCTGTCAGGTAGATATTTTAGTCAGAAATCTCCAAAATTTTTTTTCCCTTCTGTGTCACACAGCTGTCCACAGTAGTTGCTTATTATGCATTTGATGAATGATAATTCATCTATAATTCTAGAAATAAGAGGGCTTAAACCTCTATTATTTACTCTGTCAAAGTAATTCTTTTTTCAGACATATTTCTGTGTTGTTTGTGGGCCTGTTCTGTGAACTTTTAAATATGTAGCTTTGTAATAGTTGAATTTTGAATGCTAGCTGGGAGTAACGTTGCTTATGATTCAGTGAAGTGTCCTTGTGTTTCCAGGCTGGTCAAATTGATCTCCCTTCAGTTCCTATGGTGGTGTCAGAGGAAGTGACTAAGAGAATAGTAAAAAACCATCTGCTTGGACCTTCTTGGTGTTTTATCAGTTGAAATAGAAACCAGTAATAGTGTAGTAGTGCTTGTTTGGTAGGGAATAGCTGACTGTGTGTTAATATGATCAGAGCCGGGCATAGTGTTGTGGGCCTATAATCCCAGCACTTGGGAGGCTGAGGCAGGAGTGTCACTGCGTGTTCAAGGCCAGCCTGAACTACATAGGGAGACTATCTCACAGCAAACAAAACAAAACTGTGATCAGTTGCCTACAGAGACAAATGTACTTCTGAGCTTGTGTGACCGATATATTTCTGTCTGTGTTATAGGTATACTCTGAAACCAAATGACCAAATCTTGGCTGAAGACAAGCACAAGGAACTGTAAGTTTATTAAACCTGGTTGTTTGTATACACTTCTCTGTTTAGGAAGTGGGTTTATATAGACAGTCTCATTTTTGAGATTATGTAAAATACAAAGGTGCAATGAACACTATGGCCTCAAGCATGGTAGGATTAAAATAATTTATACTAGATTATTTGTGTTACCTAAGGTTAAGACTGGGAATAATAGTGTGTGTGCACATTAAAATATGTCATATTGAACTGGGTGTGGTAGCACATGCCTGCAATCTCAGCACTCTGTTAGGCTGAGGCATGAGGATTACAAGTTTGAGATCAACCCAGTGCTCTTAGACCTGGTCTGTGACTTAGACCTTGTTTCAAAATAAATTTTTTTTAAAAAGCAATAAAACACTTTATATATACTTTAAATATAAGGCCTGTAATGTGAATAAATTTTGTTTTAAATATTTTAATGTACCTTTCGTAGAGATTCTGTTTTATTTTTGGAAAAAAAGCATTCTGGGATATTTTCTTTGGTATTTTTCTTTCCTGAGGAGATATGTAAAAGAGTATCACCTGTCAGGAGCTAAGAAGATTTTGGTTAAAAATGATAGGTTTAGGAATTTTAAAGTTTATCTTAGCCTTTTGAGCATTTTAAGATTATCCAAAGAGGGAAGTTTAAAAAATTTTTTTTGTATGTTCTATTTTATACTCTACTTACATAATAAGAAAAATGCTGTTAATATTAAATATTATATAAACATTTATTGTTAAATAATGCTGTAGAAGTATGAATTTGGAGAATTTAAGGCTAACTGGGGCTTCAAATTGAACCACATGTCCTGGTAAAAGTAAGGTTTTATCCTATTTGTAAATAGATCAGTGCATTTTACATACTTCCCTTGGCAATTTCCTTAATGTTTGATAGTCTCTAATGTTAAAGGCATTTTTTTTCACTCAGGTCCTTCTCGACTTAGTTTAATGTAATTTTCATTTGTACTCACCTATATGAAAAATAACTTTTTTATAGAATATTTCAAGACTATGTTTTCTTGACATTAGTAATTTGTAAGTACTTTAAACTGTTTTTTAAAAACTCCATCCTAAATCTTTTCCAAATTACTTTCTTTGTTTTCTCGTAATAAAGGAATCACAATGTTAATTGTAGAATGGGAGGACTGATACATAGGGAGCTTTAGGAATTCTTAGAGTTTCTGTATTCCCATTAATAGGGGTGATATTAGCCTTTTTCCAATATCTGAATATTTATTCTGTTGTTGAGTGTAATCTCCATAGTGACTTCTCAAACATGCTGTCAAGAAATTTCTTTTCAAGAAATTTTATAGTTTCTTTAGTGCTGAGTACAGTCAGTGAAGGTAGGTGATTGTTACTGAATGCTTGGTTGTTGCCTTATTTTTTATAGGTTTGGTACTTCTTAAAAAATTTGGTTTGAGAATGAAATTGTTACAAACTAAGGGTTCCTTTGGCCCTTGAAGATGACCAATATAAAAGTATCAGAAATCTACTTTGTAACAGCAGAAATATGCTTTTAAAGAATATGTGTAATTTAATGTATATGCCATTTTATTTTATTTTAATTAATTAATTGGTACCAGGGATCGAATTTGGGACCTTGCACTTGCAAGGCAGGTGGCCGCACCACTGAGCTAAATCCCCGGCTATGCCATTTCAATCTAGTGCAATATATAATTTTTTTGGTGGGATGGTGGCACTGGGTATTGTAATTACACATGCTAGGCAAGTGCTCTATCCAGCCCTTTTTATTTTGAGACAAGTTCTCATTAAATTGCCCAAGCTGGTTTCAAATTTGCAATCCTCCTGCCTCAGCCTCCCAAGTAGCTAGGATTTCAGGCATGTGCTACCATGTAATAATCTATTTTACTGTATTTATTTATTTATTTAAAAGTGATTTAGCTGTTTAAGATATAATTCATTGCCCTGGATAGAACTTTGCTGATTAACTTTTTTTCTTGCTTTTTATTGTGAAAAACATTTTAAAAGTTTAAAAATCTAAATTTTTAACTGGTACAATAAAATATTACTATGAAAAATTTATTCATCCAGTATATTCATGCATGTACTAACCACCTAATTTTTCTCATTAACATTTTATTGTGGTTGCTTCATCAGTGTGCTTTCCCATAAATATTTCAACACGCACATTGTCAATTGGTAGTTAATATTTTAGAGGGTTTTTTAAAAAGTTTTGTCTATTCTATTCTTGTTTTGTTTTTGTTTTTTTGGTACTGGGGATCGAACTCGGGTCGTTGTGCTTACAAGGCAGGTTCCAGAACCACTGAGCTAAATCCCTAGACCAAGTTTTGTCTATTCTATAATTTCTAATAAATGGAATCATAGGTATATTCTGTTTTGTGTAAGACCTCTTTCAGTCAATGGTATTTCAGACTTACCAGTGTTACTGGGTGTATTGGTTCATTAATTTCTTTTTCATTGCTGAATAACATTACATTATCTTTCTTAGTGGATAGTATTGTCACTCACTTGAGTTGACATTAGTCTGTAATATTAATTCTTTTGGCTGCTGGTTCTGTCTTGTAGTTTTTGGTCTCTGTGCTATAGAAAACTCCCAGGTGAATATGCTATTGTAAGAACAAAATATTAATTAAACTACTTTACAATAGCTCTTCATGAAAGCTGTTCGTAAATAACCTGATCTGTGTCTTTGCAATTAAAATAGCCAAAATCTCACAGGGAAAAGTTTGAGAAGATGGAAATGATAATTACCCTGATTTGGTCATTAGACACCATATACTCAATGTGATTGAAATACGTGGCGAATGCTTAAATTAAAAAAAAAATTACAGTAAATGGCACATTGACTTTAATTTGGAGACAATGTGTTACTGTGTAGTTTAGGTTGGCCTTGAATTCACAACAGTCCTCCTGCCTCAGCCTCCCGACTGCTGGGAGCACAGATGTGTACCACCACACCAACTTGCTATTAATTTTCCTTAAAATAATCCCCCTTGTTTGAAATACACTATCCCATCATTTTTGCCCCTGGAAGCAGTTCTGAAAGCCATCTTTCATGTCTTTATGAGGTGTGATAAATATGGTGAATGTCATTGTTGTGTGTCAACCTACGGAAAGGCGGGCTTGTAAAATATTATGTGTCCTCATCCACCTCATTAACCTGATCCGGCACCTTGCACCTTCTGGCTCTACCTCAAAGTCACAATGACCATGAAAGGTTAGTGCTTTGAATCGATTTCAGGACAGCAAGGCAGCCACAGCAGCATAACTAAAGACATTCATGAAAGTGGACTTCAAGAACTGCTTCAGAAAATGGCTAGTACTGAGCTGGGCGTGGTGGCGCACACCAGTAATCCCAGCACTTGGGAAGTTGAGGCTGGAGGATCGCTGAGAGTTTGAGACCAGCCTGGGCTATATAGTGAGTTCCAGATCAGTCTCAACTAGATAGTGAGACCCTGTCTCAGAAAGAAGGAAGGAAGGAGGCCAGTATGATGGGCTAAACTCACAGCGGTCCTTCTGCCTCAGCCTCCCAAGTACTGAGATTACAGGCATGTGCCATCAAACCCTGCAGTGTGTCTTTTACTGTAACAATACTTTAAACACTCACTGTGGTTTTCAAACACACCTCATACATGTATCAAATTATTGAATTATGATGCTTTACCCCACAAATTTCAACAAATATGTCAATTAAAAAAAAAAGCCAAACTTTTTGTACCCAAGACCAACCTTTTAAAAATATGAGAGAGCTGGGTGAGGTTGTCCAGGCTAGTTTATAATTCCTACAGCTCCAGAGCTGAGGCAGGAGGATCCCAAGTTCAAGGTTATCCCTAGACAACTTAGAACTTGTCTCAAAATAAAATTTAAAAAGCAAGGGATGTAGCTCAGTGCTAGAGAACTTGCCTAGCATATGTTCGGTCCCCAGCAAGCAGGTGGGGAGGCATATAGGTACAAAATTTAGTTATCCAGTTAATAATTGTATGGTTTATTCTTATGAAATATTATTATTGCTTCACATCTGTTCAAGACAGTCTTACTCAACATGTTATTGCAGAAAAATGTGTCAGGGCTGTCACATTGCCCATTTAGTGACAATGTACCCTCATTCTGTCCATACCAATATGAACTCCCAATGCAGTGATACTCTTACTGTGTTATGTGCAGTAACTGTTTTCACTGGAAACATTCTCAGTTCCTGAAATCTTGTGGTTCAGACTGTGTGCACACTTAGGGACACATGTCTCAACACATGTGCTTGCTATTCCTCTGGGGAAGACTGACAGGAAAGAGGAAAAGATTGGTCAGCAGTGACACTTGTTTCTGTAAGCTAAATGGCTAACTTTATTTTTCATTATTCTACTTATTAAAGACCTTAAGGATTGATTTGGGGTAGGAAAGGTAGAATAGTTAAAGCTGTGATATGATTGATACAAAACCGTGGAATTAATACTTTGCTTTGTGCATGATTCCATAATGAACAGGTTAATGTGTCTTCTGTAGACTTTCAGTCTATCAGAGTTTTAATTTGTTAGTGAAGTAGTTTGAAACAAATTATACTGAGGCTTTTTGGTGTAATCTGAACACTCAAGAGGCTGAGACAGGAGGATTGCTACAGATTTGAGGTAATATAGTCAGCTGATGGACAGCCTGACCTACAAAGCAAAACTCTGTTTCAAAAAAACAAAAACAGAATTCTTCCAAGGAAAGGGTATAATACAATGCCTTTTCACCAACTTGATTTTTTAAAAAAAGCCTTTATGCTTATGACATTAGTGAAATGTATACTTATAATTAACATTGTACATTTTATAATTATAACCACATGTGTGAAATGATACTAAACCTTTTTCTTTTGGACTTCTCATTCCTTTGAATTATCCTGTTTAGAATCCTCGTCTCTCTGTCATTGCTGCAGCCCCTTTCTCTAGAGTACATCAGTCTTTCAGCTTAGTTTTTCATTTTTCCATCTTAGGTTTTTTTTGTTTTTGTTTTTGTTTTGGTACTGGGGATTGAACTCGGGTCCT